AAAAAAAAGAGGGCGGGGGGGGGGGGGGGGCAAGCTCTACATATACCAAACCAAAAATTAGAGCAACTAGATGGTTTTTTCTAATAACAGGTAAGATCTCATTAATACATTTATACTTTGCGCGAACAACTTGCACCCAAAGAGAATCTTGCTGCGTGCAAATATGCCATAAGGCTTTCATCATGAGTGCAATATTCATCATGCTCATAGATCGAAGACCCAAACTACCTTCTTCACATGGTTGGCAAATATTTTGCCATGAAACCGTGTGAATTTTCCTTAACATTTTCATCTTCTCCCCAAATGAAGCGTCTTATAACTTTATTCATATCATCACAAAGGCTATGAGGAACAATAGCAGTTTGCATGGTATAACTTGGTAACGCACTGAGGATAGAATATGCAAGTGTTACACGTCCTGCCATTGAAAGATGCTTACATTTCCAACAACTCAATTTTTGTTGAGCTTTATGTAGAATATTACTATAAGTATTATGCAAAGTTTTTTTATGATTGAGTTGAACTCCTAGGTACTTGCCAAGATTGTCTGTTCTTTGAAACTTGAAGGCTTGGCTAAGCTGTTCTTTCTCTTTCCATGATACATTTTTATAGAAGAATACCTTTGTTTTTTCCATATTGACCCATTGACTTGAGCAAGCACAAAACAATTCCAAACAAGTTTGTATGATTTCAACTTGATCAAGATTTGCTTCTGCGAACAATACCAAATCATCGACAAACCCTAAGTGAGATAAAGTTGGACCACCTCGACATAACTTAATAGGACGCTAAAGACTTTTTTCCACAACTATATCAATAATGTGAAATAAGTGTTCCATTCAAAGGATAAATATATAGGAAGATAAGGGGTCTCCTTGTCAGATTCCTCTAGACAGAGAAAAGTTATCTAATGGACTGCCATTCCAGAGAATTTTTAAGGAAGAAAAAGAGATGCATGCCATGATCAATTCAATAAAATGATGAGGTAAATTCAACTTCTCTAATGTATTCTTGATGCAACTCCACTTGATCCTATCATAGGCTTTTTCAAGGTCTATTTTTAGCACCATCCATTTCTTCCCATGCTTCTCAGTACGCATGGAGTGAATGACCTCTTGGGTGATAATAATATTATCACTACTATGTCTTCCTGATAAGAAATTACATTGGTTTGGACTAATGATTTTTACCACCTATGTTATTGCGAATTTTTATAACCTATTTGGTTTCATTAGAATGTTTAAGAAACTACATGCCTTCCTCTTGATCCATTAGTGAAGCTCCACCCATCACAGATGGTTCAGCTATAACATTAAATCTTGATCCTTTTACATTCATAGTAGCAAAATTTCTGAGTTTTTCTTTATCCATATTTGGTCGTTTCTTGTTTGGCGAATTAGATTTATTCTTTGGACCATGAGATTTATGAGCAAGCATCCACAACCTATACATATCTGGCTTTCTCTAAAGAATCTTTCTCCTTGATTTGCATCATAGTTCGATTTGTAGTAACAGGATTAATACTTTTTGGGTCCAAAACATTGTCTTTCTTGGGGTTCTTGATCAGTATGCATATGTGAAGCCTCATGTTCAACTGTTGGATTATCCTCGTTATGCTCTATATGATCACCAATATTCTCTTTACATTGCGATTGTTTGTGACCATAACGTCCACACTTAAAACATATGGCATGAATCCCTTCATACTCTATATTCAAAACAATTCCCAATACACTTATCTATGAAACCAATTTCTTGTTCAAATCTATTTCAATGAAAATATGAGCATAACGACCTCTTGAATAAATAGACGTTAGTTTGTCTATTTTCAACATAGATTCTAATTTTGCTCCAACTCTCCAAAGAAAGGAATCTCGTTAAAGTTCTATGGGTAGATTGGAAATGCGAA